ACTTTCTCTCCCCGAAGATCCCAACAGCAACCCGCAGGACGTGATCATGGCAGATGGTACCCGGTGGCACTGCGGACCTACCCTCCTCCCCGTGCATTGCATGTTTGGAAGTCTAGAGGCGACGGTCACATTCGAGCAACTGCACCTCGGGGGGTACGAAGGCGTTATCGGTCGACCATGGTTGCACCAGTTTGGGCCGCGGATTTATTGGCGCAATGGAACTGTCACCGTCAGCAACTACGACCTCCCATCCCACTCCTTTTGCCGACCATGGTCATCCCCAACCAGTTCAGCTTCATCAACCCATCCACCCCAACCAGCCCCATCTCCATCTTCCCATATCCCCCCTCTCCCTCCTCCTCGCATAGCTCCCGCACAGCAGCCAACACCACCCGGCTCTCCCGAAGTAATCAACACACCTCCTCCTTCTCCACCCCACCCAACCCAGCAGCCATGCCGTCCCATCATCCGCCCCGCCTCTGAAGTTATCAATCCACCCGCCCCCACCCCTCTCCTTCACCACCTCCTCCTCATCATCTCCTAGTCATCTTCACGGCTCCCAAATCTGAAGCATCAGCTACTTCTCTGCCACCAACCATACAGAATCTGCTCAACGGTTATACGGACGTGTTTCCCGATGATCTACCCGCCGAACTTCCACCCGAGCGTGCTATTGACCATAGCATCCGCCTCATTCCAGGTTCTACACCGCCCGTACGCCCAACCTATCGCATGAGCACTGCTGAACTTCAGGAGCTATGACGACAACTCGACGACCTTCTTGAGAAGGGTTTCATCCGCCACTAGCAGCTCACCATACGCTGCTCCTGTGTTTTTCACTCGCAAGAAGGAAGGTGACCTGCGTCTTTCCATCGACTACCGCACCCTCAACGCCGTCACGATCAAGAAAAAGTACCCGCTGCCCCGTGTTGAGGAGTTTTTCGACATGCTTGGGGAAGCAACGGTTTTCAGCAAGCTCGACCTATGATCCGGTTACCACCAGATCCGCCTCGCCGAAGACGACATCAGCAAGACGGCGTTTCGAACCCGCTACGGCCACTTCGAGTTTCGAGTTCTTCCCTTCGGCCTCACCAACGCACCAGCCACGTTCATGGGACTTATGAACGACATTTTTCGGCCCTTCCTCGACCGCTTTGTCATCGTATTCCTCGATGACATCCTCATTTTCGGCAAGTCACTCGAAGAACACGCTTAGCACCTACGCATCGTCCTCAACACGCTTCGCCAACACCGCCTCTACGCCAAGCTCTCCAAGTGCACCTTCGCCCGTTCAAGCATCGGCTTTCTCGGCCATGTCATCAGCTCCAAAGGCATTGCTATGGACCCCGCAAAGGTCCAGTGCCTTGCTGATTGGCCAGCACCACGCACGGTAGCGGAGCTGCAAAGTTTCATCGGCCTCGCCAAGTATTACCAGAAATTCATCTTCAACTTCTCTCACATCTGCGCCCGTTTGACCGATCTCTTCTGTCATGGAGCTGCCTTTCAATGGGGACTACCGCAGCAGACTGCTTTCGACTCAATCAAATCAGCACTCACCTCTGCACCGGTCCTCACCGTCGCTGACCCATCAGCCCATACTTCATATGGACCGATGCTTTCGATGTCGCTGTTGGTGCCATTCTTTGCCAAGACCACGGCCATGGGATGCAGCCACTCGCTTTCGAGTCACGCAAGCTTCAACTGGCAGAGCGCAACTACGCAACACACGATCGTGAGCTCCTTGCCATTGTCCACGCAATCAAGACATGGCGCTGTTACGTGGAGCTGCAGCCCGTCACCGTCTACACCGACCATCGCCCTCTTCAACACCTGAAAACACAGCCCGTGCTCAGCTGCCGCCAAGCCCGATGGGCTGAGTTCTTGGAGCAGGTTGTCCCATCACTTCAGATCATCTACCGGCCTGGAAAGCTCAATCCAGCTGACATCTTGTCCCGACCACCACCACCAGCCCCACCACCCACCGACCAGTCCCACCCAACCACCAACCAGCCCCACCACTTCCCAACCAGCCCCACCTCATCACCTCCACCTCACACTCCAAACCCACCCTTGCAACTCCATGGAACCAGCAGCATCACCTGGGATGATGCCTTCATTACGAAGTTTCAGCGCGCCTACAAACGTGAAATGTTTTTTGTCAAGCAAGCACCCGAGGACCCGTCCTACTCATTTGAAGACCCATTTTGGTACAACCGCGTTACGAAGACCATTTGTGTCCCTGCGGATCACTCCTTACGGCAGCTGCTACTCTCCGAGTACCACGACACCGCTACCGACAGCCACTTCGGTATTGAGAAGACCTACGCACGCATCTCCAACGACTACCATTGGCCACGCATGCATGCTGACGTGCGTGACTTCGTTCGTAGCTGCCGAACCTGCCAACAACTCAAAGCACGCACCTCCTCCAACCCATTCCTCCACCTACCAAAGTGTGGGATGAAGTCACCATGGACTTCATCATGGATCTGCCCCACACACCCCGCAGCTACAACGCCATCGTAGTCGTCGTCGACCGACTCTCCAAAATGAGCCACTTCATTCCCACCCACACAACCATCACCGCACCCGAAACAGCCCGACTCTTCTTCGATCACATCGTCCGCCTACACGGTCTCCCATCTGCCATCATTTCAGACCGCGACCCTCGCCTCTTGAGCAACTTTTGGCAAAGCCTCTTCAAGCTTCACGGAACCCGGCTGAAATTTTCTACGGCGTATCACCCCGAAACAGACGGACAAACCGAACGGATGAACCGCACGCTTGAAGACACCCTTCGTGCACAAGTTACCGCTCGCCAAACAGATTGGGACCTCCACCTCACCGCCATCGAACTCGCATACAACAGCACACCCCACCTCTCTACCGGTCAGCCACCCTTCTACCTCGCCACCGGACAGCACCCACGCCTCCCAACGACCCCACCCTCCCACCTCTCCCATGCACCAGCAGCCTTTGAGTTCCTCGCCTCACTCGAATCTGCCATTGATGCCGCTCGCACCTCCATCCTTAAAGCACAAGCCAAACAGACCCATTATGCCAACTCTCACCGCAAGGATATCCGTTTCAACGTTGGCGACCAAGTGCTTCTCTCCAGTGACTATCTCCCTCTCCTACGCAAAGGCACAACCAGAAAACTCGCCCCTCGCTTTATCGACCCGTTCACCATCACCCGAGTCCTCTCACCAGTCAACTACCGGCTCCAACTGCCCAGCCATATGAAGATTCACCCTGTCTTCCATGTCCAGCGCCTCCGCCCTTTTTGTGCACCCTCGCCGGACCGACCAGCCTCCCGCCATCTGCCACCAATGTTCGAAGGCAGCCCCGACCTGTTTGAGGTTGCATCCATCACTACTCACCGCGCCACACCTCATGGTCGTGAGTTTCTCGTTCATTGGAAGGACCAGCCTGCTAGTGACGACTCGTGGGAACCCGAGAGCCACCTTGACCGTGCTGCAACTGCCGTGAATCGTTACTTGACCAGCCATGGTTTGGCGCCATGGACGTCACCTCTTGGGGGGGGAATTAATGCAACAGTGCAGCAGCCCACTGTTACTGTTGGGCAGCCGCACAGTGCCAACCCACCGGCTAGTGGGAGGCTGCAAACACCCAAACCACGCAAAGATAGGATTGGTCAGCCTCCCCTCCCAGCATTTGGGCGCCCACCTGAAGACACGCAGCCCAAACCACACCCTCGCGCGAAAATTACGAAACGCAGAAAAGTCAAGTTCCGACCCCTCGCCGACTTCGCCAACGGTGCCGAAGAAATTACAGCCATGTAACCAAGCTCGCCGTCCAATCCCGCATCGCAATCAATCTCTGAATTTCACGGCAAGGTTCATTTCAAGGGGTAGAGTTTCCATAAGAAATTCAGAGTGTCGCGACTTGGTAGTGCGACTCGAATTGTGAATGCATCCTATAAAATTGTGTGTGAAACTTGTTGAAGTCATATTGCAAATTCCAGAGAACTCCAGAGAGCACTTCATACCCGTTTTCCTAGCCCACTAAGGCTGCTACTTCCCTGCCAGCAACGTTTCACGAGCAGTCAAAGCTGTTTTAAGGCCAAACGAGTGTGAGAAAGTTGTGCACAGAGGCGTTAGTACTGGAGAGGCGACGGGGAGAGGGCGGGCGAAGCGTTGGTGCATGCGCATAATCACTATACGTCTTAGTATAAGAAGGGAGTTATTCGCGCCGCTTGCTGAGTTGCGACGTGCTTATCTTCGGAACATTCCGTGAGTGGCGCATCAAGTGGTGTATTTTCTCATGAACGACGTGTTTGAAGTATTTGAAAATGGCCCTGTTCGCGAGCAGCGTCGGAATGGCCGTGGAATCAGGAAACGGGGGCGGAACCCGCCGAATAGGTTATGGGGGGTAAGGGCGCGTCCCCTCACTTGATCGATCCTGCCCTCGATCGATCAAGGTACAGCTACAATGTCGCAATTGACAGATCCAAGCGCGCTGAATACAGTATTGCAAGGCCAATGACAATGACAATGAGAAGGCCACGGATTCCTCCGCGGACTTTCGAGAGCCTATTTCGTGAAGGTTACTTATCAGCTGGTAACTTCGAGACCAGAACTGGAGTCCTGAGTACACTATGCTGCAGAGGATATAAATTTTATGTCTACACGGACATTATAACCTCGGCTACTCAGGAGTATCTCAAGGTTGCAAGCACATTTCAAGTTAACCAATCTCCAGGGCTTCTTGATTCCGTCGGCAAGTTTTTAGGCTTTCATTGTACTGATCAACAACACAGTTCTCTGCTAAGGTTATGGCCTAACAACTTATTTGATCGAACGCCAAGGCATGATCCCAAGGCGAAGAACTCGGGAGTTCACCATTTCCTTCAGGAGTGCAAATCTCAGGCACAAACGGAATGTTATAAGGAGGTGGTGCTCAGTCCTCAAGCAGCATCAGCTTCTCTCGATTATCAGTGGCTTTCACTTTGGCTGCTATCTGAGCCTCATCTTTGCATCATGCCTCCGAAACGGACAACGGATGTCACGCTTCCTGACGATCTCCTGCCGGATCCGATCACCATGCTGACTCCTGCTGGGGATGGAGACAAGAACCAAGGATCCAACAACACGGTTAATGTGCCTGTGGCCACGGACAATGCTGCTGGGAACGTCACGGCATCGGTCTCTACTGCTGCTGCTGTCGCTTGGAGTTCTGGTTTGTCAATAGAAGAGAAGAGTCAGGAGAACCAGGCTCCTAACGCGGCGGTGCCTGATGAGTTCCTGGAGGATGATGAGGACGAAGAGCTGGAAATCGACATCGCTAAGGAAGATGCTTTCTGTCTTCGTTATACAGCAATCTTACTCATTCCGATGGTGCTTTCTCAGGAGACCAAAGCCATTATTGCTGCTGTCCGCCTCCTGATAACGAAGGTCTGGAGTTCGACTTTGAATGATAACGCTGGCGTCACGGCAAACATACAAGAAATGTCACCTGGTTTTGTGGCGAAGACGCGTTTCTACCGGCTCCAGATCTCCTTCCTGGATGAACGGGATACTCACCACATCAAATGTCACGTCTTCGAGTACCAGAAGGTGAATGCTCCAGCGATCAAATGCATCTGGCAGCATACGGAGGACGCTACGTACCTTAAGGAAAAGGCTGCTCACCCTCTTACTATTGAAGTGATATTCCGCCAAGTTCCTGCTAACATTGTCCCGGATGTGAAGGACCTGCTCGTTTGCTTCAAGCTGAAGATGCGCAAGCAGTTAGCTTCAAGGAAGGGTTCGCTTTCCACCGTGTAGCTCATCCACTTATCGGAGCCGACACCGACGTGCTCAAAGGCTTGGTTGTTCAGCATCCTGGTGATCGCTACCGCTGGCGTCATGTGGTTGACAACCCGATGGGATCTGGAGAGAAGCTTCTTGTCTACTACCCTGCACTGTCCTGCCTGCTCTGCGGTGGACAGCATTATGACATCTTTCATGATCTGTTCATCATAGAGCAGCAGAACAATATAGGGAAGTGGAACCTTACCTTAGGGAAAGCTCATAACTTCAATGGTAACTGCATCGGTCATTTTCACGACTTTACAGCTTTACCTTCTTTGACTCTCACTGACGATCTCTGTTGCACTCGCAGCTGCCTCTCTGCGCACCTCTGCTCTCGTCACTCCCATACTGAAAGACCCATCCATTGCTCTTGTCTCAACCGGCAGCAACCGCGAAGAGTGGATCTGCACACAAGTGTGCTGCGGGAAGGCGAAAGGGAAAACTTTCTTAGTTGCGGCAGATCACATTGTTACCGCGACTCATCTGCTGAACCAGGAGAAGCTGGGTTCTGCTACAAAGGCTTCAATGGACAAGACCAATCTTGCCGGAGTGAAGAAAGAGTACAACTTCTGAGGCTGCAGAATGAGAACCGCGTGCTGTTAGTGATCGTTGGATGGAGTGCAGTAGTCAGTGTAGTCACCATCTTCAGCCTGTGGATGAGCAGGGGCTGCCAAGCACTTATCAAATGAGTAACAAAAATTTCTTCTCCTTAGCAGGCCTTAATGTCAACGGCCTAGGTGATAGAACAAAGCAAGACAGAGTTACAACCTGGACCAGAACTGCAGCAGATATCATCATTCTCACAGACACAAGACTACCTGATGACCACCCATACTGGAAAACCTCAGCCTTCACCACTGTCCTAACAACCCCACCCACTGACAAAGCCGGAGGCGTTGCCGTTCTTACCAGAGACCCTACCGTACTCTTCACAAAGACTGTTACGCATCCGTCAGGAAGACTGATTTCAGCCAAAGCAAGCCGCTTCGGGTTCACTCTCACCCTTTTTGCTGCATATTTCCCCGCTGACGCGACCGACGGATGCTCTTTCTTGATGAACGTAGTCGGTCCAGCTTTCGACCAGATCCCCACCACTGATCATGTAGTTCTCCTTGGTGACCTGAACACGGTAGAAGACCCAATATTAGACCGAACATCCCAATCAGGCACATCCTTAGAGAACGACAGACTTGTTTCACGCTGCAACCGCTTTCAGCTTTCGGATGCTTTCCGCACGCTTCACCCTAAACTCAGAGAATATACCTTTTACACTGCCTCTAAGCAATCCAGCTCTTGCATTGACCGCGCACTTGTTTCTTGCTCGCTCTTGCCGCACCTTGACATAGCTGCACACATACGACCGGAAGAATATATTTCAGATCACGGTTTCGGGATTAAGATCGCCTTAAAGATCAAAGCCTCTTCTCACCTGTGCCTTGGCATCTGGAGGTTGCATGCAGCGGAGATAGGCAGTCCCGGGGTCCGAAAAGCAATTGAAGCTGCCCTGGCAAAGGCGGCTGAAGATGGGGAAGGGAATTTCGAGTTACTCGTGGGGAGGCTCAACGCAGGAGTGCTGTCATACATGAAGGAGGAGAAAAAGAGGGTTAAAGAAACAACGGCTCATCTAGCAGAAGTGATGGCGGAGCTCCATCAGGAGCAGATGAGAAACCCCGGCTGCCAGAAGACGAGAGATCTGCTGCACATCAGAGACACGCAGCTGAAAGAGTATCATGCGTTAAGAAGGGGTCGGCTCTATGTGATGACGGGGACAAACGTGGAGTTGGCCGATGAGGTCCCCTCTCCTTTCCTATCGGCGCGGGTCAAGGTCAGAAAGCGGAAAACTCAGATAGCGGAACTTACGGTTGGTGGCTCCAAGATCTCTGACTCACCTGGGATTCTGAAGGCCGCGACGCAATACTTTACGGATTTGTTTGGCACTGACGGGCGGACATCGGCTGGGAGGTGGAAGCCACTTGCTGGGAGGAAGCTGAATGCAGAGGCCGCGGCCGGGCTAGCGGCAGACTGGACGGAGGCAGAGGTGAAGCAGGCCTTCAAAGCGCTTGCGGATGGCAAATCTCCAGGGAAAGATGGGCTCCCGAAGGAACTCTTTGAAAAAAACTGGGATATCATCGGCAAAGAGTTTCTTCGTATGGCGCAGTCCTTCGCTGCCTCCGCGTCCATCCCTGCAAGCATCAAAGAAGAGGTTACTATTCTGCTTTATAAAAAAGGCGACAAGGACAGTCTGGATAACTATCGCCCTATCACATTACTGAACTTCACGTACAAAGTGCTGGCACGGGTGGTGGCGAATCGGATGAAACCGCATCTGCACAAGGTGATTTCGGCGGAATAGTACGGTTTTATTCCTGGCAGGAGAATCTCAGACGCCATCGGGGTGGTCGCTGATGTTATCGAAGCGGCGAAGAAGGGAAACGAAGACTGGTATATGCTGCTTGTGGACTGTCGTAAGGCTTTTGACTCCGTGTCGAGAAGTTTCCTTTTCAGCACCCTCAAGGGGATGGGTTTTCCGAAGAGATTTGTCGGTTGGGTGGAAGGCCTGCACAAAGACACCAGAACGAGGCTGTTGATCAATGGGTGGCTAGGGGAAGCAGTGGAAGTGAAATCGGGGTGGAGGCAGGGCTGCCCGCTCGCGCCTTACCTGTTCCTCTGTGCGGTGGAGCCTCTTGCGCAGGAAGCAGTACGGCGGAAGCTTGGTCTCTGCAATCAGGCAAATCAACGGTTAGCCTATGTTGGTTATGCAGACGACACGACATTTTTTTTTGGACGGGAAAAGACAAATCGCCAGAGCTAAGAAGCTGCTGACTTACTTTGCTGGGCTGTCGGGGCTGCAAACGAACAAGAGCAAGTCGGTCATTCTCCCGATCGGCCACAACATCGGGAGGAGGCCGGGTACGCTGGGAGGTTTCAAATAGGCTAAGGCGGACGAAGCGGAGAGGGTTCTGGGCATCTGGGTCACTCCCTCCGGAAGTAGTGAGCCGATCTGGAAGCGGGCTTTCGAAAAAATAATCGTGGAGCTGATAAAATGGAAAGCGCGTTCCTCACGATCGCGGCGAGGGTGGTGATCGTCAACTGCTACATCACACCGAGGATAGCATATCAAGCACAAGTGTACCCTCCAACAGAGGAGATCTGGAAGAAGCTTATGAAGCTGATTCACAACTTTCTAACGGACAACAACGCGTTGGCTGAGAAGGGTTTCGTGTTGTGTGTTAACAGGAATGGAGTGTTGGCCCCGCCCTCGCTTGGGCAACGCCGACGACTTGGTCAGATGTACGGGAGTAGCAGCCGACCGTTCACAGTGGGAGAGCTGCTCGACAGGCTTTGTCGAGCTGCAGGGGACCGCTGTGGTGTTGCTGTCGACCAGGGAGCTCGACAGCTGCAACTGACTGGTCTGGGCGACAGGTGGGACGTCGACCAGGACCTGTAGCTCGACCGGGAGGTCTCCGGAGCATCCCGTCGACCTGCCTTTCGACCGGGAGGTCTTCGGAGCATTCCGTCGACCTGCCGCTCGACCGGGAGGTCTCCGGAGCATCCCGTCGACCTGCAGTTCGACCGGGAGGTCGACGGAGCAGTCCGTCGACCTGACAAGTGAGCAGCGGTGGACAAGGGGAGCTCGGCGACAACCGCTGATGGTTCTGGTCGACGGAAGGGGTCCGTCGACCAGGGGGTAGCTCGACGGGAGTTGTGGTCGACCAGAGGCACCTGGTGGTCGACCAGAGGGACCTGGTGGTCGACCAGAAGCAGTGGTGGTCGACCAGAAGCACCTGGTGGTCGACCGGGTCGACCGGGTAACCTGCCAAAGTCGTAACAGATGAGGTCCCTCCAGCGGAACTACCAGGAGCCTCTGAGTGTGGCGAACGAGAAGTTGTTGCTGTAGGAGTAGAAGCCATGGTGGCTCGGGAGGGGAGGTAGCTAGAATAGGAAGCGAGAGAATGAATATCGAGTGAACAAATGCCTCTCTTCATGCCTGGGAGATTCGGTTGGGTTGAGCTCCCAACCAGTAAAGTAGCAGTTGGAGGGGATGGTGGAATGCTGTGGTTAAAAGGGGTGTGAAACGGTGGAGGGGAGGGGTTGATGAGGTTTGGAGCTTGAAATTCAAAATCTGATATCATTTCGCTACATCTGGGACTCGGAAATGAGATCGCCACGTCGCGAGCTTCAGATTGAAAATTTGTGTTTTTGTTTTTTCGGTCTGCCCGAAATTCAACTCGGCGAATCTTCAAATTATACGCAGCGTACGAATTCGATAAGAGCATAAACGCTAAACGCAAAACGAAAGTAGCGTATATTCCAACTTAGGTTTTTGAAGTGTACTCCCTCACGGTGAACTCGTACCCACTGATGATGAAGCACCACTCACCACGGTACTGCTTCACAGTGGTGTAAAAGACTTGAGGGGCGGGTCACACACACGTCTTGTTGCCATCCACCAAGGTGCACACGACTGACCCACACTGCTCGCAGCCTGTAGGACACGCATGGGGCGTTTGTGGCAGCTGGGAGGCGGGACAACGTGGGAAGGAGGGAGAAAAATGATGCAACGAGGCATGTGGTTCGCTCACAGGAAGCATGGGCTCACAGGAAGCATGGGCTCACAGGAAGCATGGGCTCACCGGAAGCATGGGCTCACAGGAAGCATGGGCTCACAGGAAGCATGGGCTCACAGGAAGCATGGGCTCACAGGAAGCATGGGCTCACAAGAAGCATGGGCTCATAGGAAGCATGGGCTCACAGGAAGCATGGGCTGACAGGAAGGATCATGGGCTTAGAGTAAGCAATCAGTGAGTCAGTTGAATCAGGGATGGAGTATAATGTGCGTGCCACTGGAATTTTACCAGAGCAAAGCAACGGGTGAAGAACGGTATGCACATCCCACACCGCACCACACAGCACACCGCGGCACCATGCGGCAAGTCACAGCTGTGAAGAAAGGTGCGGTGCAGTGCGTTGGA